AGTATTTCTTTTAAAAACAGAAAATCAATAAATTTTCCCAATCTTCTCTAAACTGAAGAGTATTGCTGGAGTCTGAACCCCAGTGGGCCTCAGCAGATGGCCGCTCACTCTGAGCCTGGTTCTGCTGATTTTTCCTCTCCACTGTCGCTACAAGCATGCTTAGTGTGAGGGATTGCTGAAGAGTCAATGAGTCGATGCAATCAGCTGGTTTTCCTTAGATAGAAAACTTTGAATCAATCTGACTGGATGATCTGGTGAACTGGAAAGTGACCTGAGATGACATGATGGGAATTGGAGCTATAGAAATAAAATGAATAGAATCAAACAGCAGCTGGTTTGTGTTTGTGTCCACATTTCCTTCTCTGTTCTAGTGGCTTTCTTTCAGTCCACTGACCGGCAGTGTGCAGCAGCAGATAGAAGTGTATCTTTGTGTTACTGAACCCCTAAACTAATCACTTCAATGATTTCTGCCCCTTTTAATGAAGCTCTAGATAAAACGGGTGTTTTGTTGGTGTCTCTATGCAGCCTTTGAACCGTTTTCTCCTGATCCGGCTGTAGATGTGTGACGGAGGCGGCGGTCAGGTATTTATGTCGCCCCCTGCGCTGTGAACCTGCATGCATGCTTCATGCTCTGTGCACGGAGACCTGAGACTGAACAGAAATCAGACAGCAGGCAGATGTGTTCAGGGGACATCCCAGAGTATTTACTGCCCCTCATCGACACGATGGTGACGTGGTTTTGATGTTGTGTTGGTGCAGCTCGCTGCCATCTGAGTCCAGCAGACAGACGTCCAGAGCTGCTGGCTGTGGATCAGGGCTGGACTTAGCGGCTGTTAGCTTATCGCCGGCAGAGGAGCGTCCACACTGCAAAAACAATCTAGAAATAAGTAAAAATATTTTCAGTTATCTTTAGGTATGTCATTAGTTCTTTAATCTTAAAATAATTGGATATGCACTTGAATAGAAAATCCATTTTTTTTTCTTATTTTAAATGTGAATATTCAGTAAAAGTTAAAAAAAAAATTACCTCCTCAAATCAAAACAAAAGCAGTAATTTTAAGAAAAAAAGACTTATCTAGATCTACTTTCTTTTTTCTTTGCAATGTTTGCTCCTTCTGTTACAAGCTAATGGGTGTTTGATTATTTGATTCTAAAACTGTTAAGATGACCAGCAGCGTGGCGTTGAGGGCAGCCTCGGCTGTAGGAAGCCTGCAGAGCCGCTTCTTCATCTCTCCAAAGATCAGCAGCCTTTACAGCTGATCATAAATGTCTGGAAAAGTTTCCTCTGAGGATTTTGGAAACAGGATAAAGGAATCTTCAGATTTGCAGAATAGCTCCCTCTAGTGGACAGAGAGGTAACCTGTAGGTTAAACTGAACATTTAAACTATTTAAGTCACATAGTTGGAGCTTTTTCTTAGGCAGAGGGTCCCAAACGTTTCACCCTCTGTGGATCAGAAGGTGAAACATTTGGGACCAGAGTCGACTTAAGATCCAAACTATTGGCTGAGTTTACAAACATCTCTTCAATTAAACGCGACTGAATCAACTTGAAACAGGAAGAAGAACCAGAGCAGCTGCTTTTCTCCTTTTTAACTGATGCATCTTGCAGCACTTTAACATAAATGTTTAATTTCTGTAGTGATCTCATCCTCTCTTCCAGGTCTAAAGTTGGTCTAAGCTCAGACCTAAATGTCCAGATTCAGTCTGTAAATCAGCGTTTAGATTTCCAGGCAGCTGAATCGACCTCGTCCCTCTTTTTTAACCGTAATCGGTGGAAAAAATAGGATAATTTGAGCAGCGTTAAAATTATTTACATGTATTTTTGTAATAATGGCTTTTGGAAACATGTATTGATAAAACCTGGAATCAAACATGTAGAAATGAATAAACAAACATCAGAGTTTTTAGGGCAGCAGCTAATAATTATTTTAGTAATCAGTCAGAAAGTTTTTTTTTTTTGGTAATTCATCTAAAAAAAAAAGATGCTTTTGGTTATTTAGAATTTCTAAATAAATGTATGGAATATAGAATAAAAGTTTTATTGGCCTTTTTATTTAACTGGAAACAAAATTTACTGTAATTTTATATAAGATGTGTGTAAATATTTATATTTAAAGAAAATTCTGTGAGTGGTTTTATTTAGCATCTGTGTAATGTTGCTCTAGATTTATGTGATTTATTTTTACCAGATCTTAAGGCTCCAGCTCGCTAAGAGTGACTGAAGGGCAACATAGAGACGCTAACCTCAGTCAGGCTTTGTTTCAAGAAGCAGGTTCACTGAAAGTTTTATAAAGCTGAAGCTGTTTTGATATTTATATGTTTTTACAAACGTGTATTCCTGATATCTGAAAAAACAAATTTTTTTTCTTCTCAAAATGACCATTTTAAACAAAACAACATTCTTCAAATCTAGAATAAACATTCTGGATGTCTAGAATTAATTTCAGACTATTTGTATTATTTTGAAAATGAAGAAATGTATTTCAGATCTAATTAATAAATATTCAGTCAAGCTGATAAACGTCAGAACGGCCACTTAAAATGTGTAAATATTTCTAGGTCTGTCAAGCTTAAAGGAATAGTACACCCAAAACATGATTAGCCTTCATTTTCTACTCACCCCCATGCTGAACAACACTCTGGAGTACTTTTTTGATATCTCAAATGCATCTGGAGATCTGGGAGGCTTCTTGCTGTCTGCTGACATTCAAATAATGGAGGTCTATGGCGCCCGAGGCAGAAAGGTCCATAAAAGTCCACAAAAAACGTGTCAATATTCCTCCATACTGCTCGTCCAATGTATTCCAAGTGTCCTGAGTGGGTAGCGTCCAGAATTTACTCGAAACGAAGTCATTTAGAATGTTTTTAGAGCATAAACAGTAGTGTATAGGATTTCCTGAAAGCGCGCACATGCGCGTTCACGACGCTACGGAAGCCGGCAGACCAAACCAGATGAAAGTGCGCATTCAGCGTCTGCTCTGCCGATAATGCAAGCGTAGAAGAAGAAATGTGCTGTTTACCTGTGCAAAGAAAGAAACAACGAAAGAAAAATGTCTGAGGACTTCAGTGTTGAGGAAGAGCATGAGTTCTCTGCCGAGCTGAATGCGCACTTTCATCTGGTTTGGTCTGCCGCGGTTTCCGTAGACTCGTGAACGCGCTTTCAGGAAATCCTATACACTACTGTTTATGCTGTAAAAACATTCTAAATGACTTTGTTTCGAGTAAATTCTGGACGCTACCCACTCAGGACACTTGGAATACATTGGACGAGCAGTATGGAGGAATATTGACACGTTTTTTGTGGACTTTTATGGACCTTTCTGCCTCGGGCGCCATAGACCTCCATTATTTGAATGTCAGCAGACAGCAAGAAGCCTCCCAGATCTCCAGATGCATTTGAGATATCAAAAAAGTACTCCAGAGTGTTGTTCAGCATGGGGGTGAGTAGAAAATGAAGGCTAATCATGTTTTGGGTGTACTATTCCTTTAATTCTTACTCGTATATTTCTGTTTTTTTATTTCCTGAATTTCATAATCGTCTGCAAAAATGTAATCTAGAATATATATTATGATAGTTCAGTCTAGGAGCGTGATTTTGATCTGGAAGAATCATATTTTAGTGATCTACAAATGGAACAACAGAGAGGAGAGTGCTTTATTAAATGTAAAAACCGGCCTGCCATAGGCCACATCTTATAAATGTACGCATTAACGCGAGCAACAATCTTCTCCATCTGCCTCTCCTTTGCAGCTGTAGTGCCGTTTCTCTGTCTTTTAAACACATTCTCATTTTGTTTTGTTTTTCATTAAAACCTCTGGTTCGAATGGGGAGAAATAGGCTCTTCCTCTTGCCTGTTGTCATGTTGACTCATTGAATTGGGGCTCCACTGATAACGGATTTTTCATACTTGTTAAGAACTCTGTGTGGTTCTACTTAGAGTTAATTGAGCTAATATCATAGCAGCCGTAGTGAAACCCAGAACTCCAACATCTAGAAACAAAGATGTTGGTTGGGCTGAAAATGTCATAGTAGCTGTTCTATGAGCCCTAATGCAGCCTGGTTAAAAGCCCCAGAATCAAACGACAGGTTTTCTTCCTTTTATGGTATGATCATGAATATTTAGATGAGCTGCGCTCATTTGGTTGGTTTACAAATCGTTGTAAACCAACCAATCAGTACCAATCAAACCAATCAATCATAGTAAACTGGGTCTAACATTTTAGAACTTGATCTGGGGCATTGATATAGATTGGGTCACCATAGTCCAGAATGGGTAAAACGTTGCAGCTACCAGTCTCTTCTTCTAATTAAAAGAGAAACAAAGCCTATTCCTGAAGAAGAAGCCAATTTTCAGTCTGAGTTTCTTAATCAATTGTTCGACATTTAAACTTTCATCAATTAAAATTCCTAAATATTTAAAAGATTGAACCCTTTCTATCTCTGACCCATCCAAGGTGATAAGAGGATCGCTATTTTGCAATTTTGTCTTTGTTTTTGAAAATAACATCATTTAAGTGTTATTTGAATTTAAAGAAAGATCTAGTTTTAAAAGCCTGTGCTGAACCGAATTAAAAGCAATTTGTAAAATAGAGACACACGCACTAGGGTTTTTTCCAAAACTGTAAAAAACCGTATCATCAGCATAAAATGGTAGTTAGTGTCTATAAGATCCTGGCCAACATTGTTCACATAGATAGTAAATAGTAGAAGCCCCAAAACGGAGCCTTGGGGCACTCCTTTAGTTAGTGACAATGTACTAGAACAAATTTGATCTGATTTGACACATTGGGATCGATCAGTCAGATAATTACTGAACCATCCAGCAGCTTGTTTAGAGAGTCCAATATTGGTCAATCTCTCTTCAAGTAAATTGTGGTTGACAGTGTCGAACGCTTTTGATAAATCAATGAAGAGTGAAGAGTGTTTAGTTTGTTTTTTTTGGAAACAAATGCTTTTCTCTTATTTTTACGTCACTTGTGTCTGTTGCCTTTTTTACAGGACAGTAAAGATGCAGAGCAGTGTTTCCCACTCACCACCAGCCACAGCTGTTGGGACGGGGTGAGGAGCGCGGAGCACGACGGAGCGACGGGCGGCTGTAAGGTGGGAGGTTCACACCTGAGGATTCTGACCAGCAGGTACAGTTTGGTTCCAGTTTGACCTCCAATCTGTGGAGTTTCAGGAAGAAACTGGGATCTGACAGCAGACTTTGTTTGATGCAGCGTTTCGTCACCTTTGACCTGCCAGTCGCCTTTCCCAGACACCTTCCAACGCTGAGACTGCGAGGCAGGGGGAGCCGCGCGTGACTTTCATGGCAGCGGCACTCTAGGGCTGCCATGGCAGCTGCTGCCGCCGATGCCTCACACTGTATCACTGCACTGACGCCGGAGGAAGAGGGACGCCGCGCCGCCGCCAAGCTGTTTGGGAGCGCCGCCCCGCTGCCACGGACGGAGAGAGAGCGAGAGAGGGACGAGGAAGGAGGGAGAGTAGGGAGAGCGAGCGGCAACGAGTGTCTGGTGTGCGGGGCCCTGTTCGTCTCGCAGGAGAAGCTCCGCCTCCACGCTTTGAGTCACGCCGGAGAGAAACCCTTCCACTGCTCACAGCCGCACTGCCCCAAGGCCTTCAGCTCCAAATACAAACTCTTCAGGTTTGGACCAAATTCCTCCTTCGTCTCCAGTCTCCAATAGGAAACTGACTGACCTGCATGTATAGATGGACCTGCAGCGCCGCGCATTTCTGTTTTATTTGATAAAAGAAGGAAACAGCTTTTAAAAAGTGTTTCTGAGTTAACATCTGAGCCTCCATATGATCCAGTAAGAAAAGAGGCAACTCATTCAGCAAATGAGGTCTAAAGATGACAGACTGAGGAGGAGGTTTCACTATTGATGGGTGTTAGAGAGAGCATCAGCCAGGAGGAGCCCTGAGGGGAACTCTGGAGGAGCTGCAGAGCTTTAAGGGACGCCTCAGGGTGCCTGGATGCAACAATCATCTGTGGCTCCTTCTCTCTTCCTTCTGTTTCAAAAGAAAAGAACAGTTTTGATTTATTTTCTAGGAGCTGAAAGGAAAAAAAAGTTCCGCGTTTGATTTAATTTATCTTTGAGCTGTTTAAATCCAGCTAAGGATGCACGATATAATGGGCCCCCTATCGGTATCGGCCTTAAAACGGAATATCCGACATCGGCCACCCCACCGATATTTAACCCGATATTTGATCAGCTTCTGAGTGTCTAAAGTCTAAAAAAAAAATTAAAATACTACTTCTTCTTCTTCCTCAAAAACTTATTTTTTACAGACTTAAAAACTTCTAAAGACGAGGGAAAAAATATTGATACATTAAAATATCCCAATATCTTCATATGCTGATATATTGCCATTTAAAAACACCATATCAATCTCTTTTACTAATGAAATATTGCTATATGTCATCGTTATGCTACGAAATCCCCCGAAAATTCACCAAATGTTGCCATATTTTTATATGTTGATATATTGACGCGGTATCGATCTATTTTACTAACAAAATCTCACAAGGATTTGCAAAATATCACGAGAGTTTGTAACAGAACGATGAAATTTCACCAGATTTTGAAAGTAAAATAGATCGATACCGCGTTTTTAAAAATCTATTTGATATCAGCATATGAAAATATATTTGACTATATTATTTTTCAAAGCATCAGAAATGGATAACAAAACTGCTATTTTCAATGACTACTTATTTTTGTCCAGCTTTAACATCGGTATCGATATCGGTTATCGGCTACATGAGTTTTAAAATATCGGCATATCGGATATCGGCCAAAATCCCGATATCGTGCATCCCTAAATCCAGCCGTAGTTTTCAGTTTTTCACTGATAGCTGCGTTGCTCCAACAGGTGGTTAGCAGAACAGAAATATAACCAATCAAATAACATCAGTTCAGATGTTTGTTTTACTTCAAGAAATAAATTAAACCATTTTTATTGTTAGAATAATTATCAGGGTCGAAGTTCAAAAATATTTAAAACAATTTTGGGAAAATAAATGGCAGCTGTTATACGGAGGCTGATGGTTTCTGTCAGAGCGCCGTATAGCCGCTGTTTAGCTGGAAGACTGCGATCATCAGTAATTCTTTAACACACTGGAAGTGGCTGCATTCAAATATATTTGAGAAGGAGGATTTTAAAATCTGTTCTAGATTTAACCCTGAGCAGTGGCGGATCTAGACCAAATGCACCAGGGGGCCAGGAGGGGGCCAGTGTATTTTCATGGGGGCCCAGAAAAGCAGGACATAAAAAACAGGGCGAGGGATTTAAATATATTAAGAGAGCTGCATGATGGGAAATTTCTTTTCAATTAGGTTCAATAAAAATTGTATTTCTTATGACGTCAGTATACCTTCATAATTTAGGAATTTTATATATTTATTTACTTAAGTTAAAATGACCATTTTCTATTAAATCTGAATTAGAACTGATAAATTCATCTGTAAAAATCAGAGTACCTTCTTTTATTTGTTTAGAAAAAAAAACATTTAGCAGATGAAAAATGGGATCCTATCTCAATACGACTGAAACTATCAGCTTACTGTTTTTAAATAATTAGTAAAGGAAAAAAATTAAATAGATCCAAAGGACCTATTATTAACCAAGTCTGTTCCAGCGCAGATCATCATTAGAATTTCTTTTAAGCATTATTTCTTCAGTACAGGGGCCAGGACATGATTTACAGGGGCACCGGCCCCCATTGGCCCCTGTCTAGAACCGCCCATGACCCTGAGAGACCAGAAACAGAGCAGCATCCTTTGAATAAGAACATGGTGGGACGTCTGTCATGGAAAAAGTAAAGCATTAGAAGTTCTGGTTCCTGAAGGTCCAAATGGTGACCCAACAAAATACTAATGATGCAAATATTATCCATTCAAATGAGAAAAAACTGATTTTTTTTTTATTATTATTTTTGTTCTCTGAATTGTTTTTTTTTCTTTTTTCTAATCAGATTAAAAAAATATATATATTTATGTTGAAACTAGGGATGCAGGATATTGGGATTTTGGCCGATATCCGATATGCCGATATTTTAAAACTCATGTAGCCGATAACCGATATCGATACCGATGTTAAAGCAGGACAAAAATAAGTAGTCATTGAAAATAGCAGTTTTGTTATCCATTTCTGACACTTTGAAAAATAATATACTCAAATATATTTTCATAAGCTGATATCAAATTGATTTTTAAAAACGCGGTGTCGATCTATTTTACTTTCAAAATCTGGTGAAATTTCATCGTTCTGTTACAAACTCTCGTGATATTTTGCAAATTCTTGTGAGATTTTTTTAGTAAAATAGATCGATACCGCGTCAATATATCAACATATAAAAATATGGCAACATTTGGTGAATTTTCGGGGGATTTCGTAGCATAACGATGACATATAGCAATATTTCATTAGTAAAAGAGATTGATATGGTGTTTTTAAATGGCAATATATCAGCATATGAAGATATTGGGATATTTTAATGTATCAATATTTTTTCCCTCGTCTTTAGAAGTTTTTAAGTCTGTAAAAAATAAGTTTTTGAGGAAGAAGAAGAAGTAGTATTTTTATTTTTTTTTTAGACTTTAGACACTCAGAAGCTGATCAAATATCGGGTTAAATATCGGTGGGGTGGCCGATGTCCGATATTCAGTTTTAAGGCCGATACCGATAGGGGGCCCATTATATCGTGCATCCCTATTTGAAACAGAGGAAAACCCCCAAAAAAACCCGAAACAAGTAATTTCAGTAAACGGCAAAGGAAAGTTAGGAAAATGGAAAGTGATGTTTTTATGTCATCTTAAGGAATGATTGATCTGTTTTAGAGAGAAAACAGTGTTAAAAATTTCCACCTCTTTGTTTGTAGGTTTTGGAAGTGAATTCTAAGCATCTCGCCATCAGGAAATACAGTACAGACCAAAAGTTTGGACACGCCTTCTCATTCATGTCTATGAAAATTGACTTTTAATCTGTACTGTATGAAATATGTTCTGTTTATTACCAGCTGTTAGGCACGGTGGAGGTGGCATCATGCATATGGGGAGCATTGGATGATTTGGTTAAACCTAGTTAATACGAGTCATTCTTATTTTACCAGAGTTATCATCCAGTCTGCTTATTTACATCTAGAAAAGAAAAGTTAAACGTAGATTTAAGGAGAAAAATTCCGATCATTTGTTTCTATTTGCTGTCGGCTAATAGTCGCAGAACGAATGACGCTGAAGCATCTTTGCCTTGTTTTCACAGGCATATGGCCACGCACTCTCCACAGAAGACCCACCAGTGTTCGTTTTGTGAGAAAATGTTCCACCGCAAAGACCACCTGAAGAACCACCTGCAGACCCATGACCCCAACAAAGAGGCCTTCAAGTGTGAGGAGTGTGGGAAGCACTACAACACCAAGCTGGGATACAAGCGCCATGTGGCCATGCACTCTGCCACGGCGGGGGATCTCACCTGCAAAGTGTGCATGCAGAATTACGAAAGCACGCCCGTTCTCCTGGAGCACCTGAAGAGCCACTCGGGGAAGTCGTCAGGCGGGGCCAAGGAGAAGAAACACCCCTGCGACCACTGCGACCGCCGCTTCTACACGCGGAAGGACGTGAGACGGCACATGGTGGTCCACACGGGGCGGAAAGACTTCCTGTGCCAATACTGCGCCCAGCGCTTCGGCAGGAAAGACCACCTGACGCGGCACGTGAAGAAGAGTCACTCGCAGGAGCTGCTGAAGATAAAGACGGAGCATCCGGACATGTTGGGCATCCTGACGGCCGGATCGCCGCAGTGTTCCATCAAGGAGGAACTCAGCCCCATGATATGCGGCATGGGGCCCAACAAGGAGCCCATGATGGGGAAGTCCTTCCCCGGTGGGGCCGCCTTTCCCATGAGCATGTATAACCCCCACCATCTGCAGACCATGCCTAATCCTGGGGTGGGTCCCCCGCACCCCCCACTGATGCCCAATTCCCTGTCTGCCGCCATGGGCATGGGCTGCCATATGGAACCCCCCGTATCCATTCATCCGCACTCCCATCACCACCACCATCACCACCACCATCACCACCACCACCATTCCCCCCCACACCAGCCCGTGGCTCCCCAGCAGCACCAGCCCCCCCAGCCGGCGCCCAAATACCAGCTGGGATCTACCTCATACCTGCTGGACAAGCCCTTGAAGGTGGAGATGGAGAGTTTCCTCATGGACCTGCAGAGCGGCCTGCCCGCCCCGCTTCCCTCTGCAGAGCCCCATGCTGCTGCCTCCCCCCCCAAGGATGGACTGGAGCCCTCTTCTGGCCTAGCCGATGAACTCTGCGGGGATCCCCTCCTGTCCAAGAGCCCCGCCGTGATAGCCGAGTCTCTGTGTGCTGCTAACATGGACTTCTCCCACCTGCTGGGCTTCCTGCCCTTAAACCTCCCTCCTTACAGCGCCCCCATGAGCACAGGAGGACTGGTTATGGGCTACACCTCATCTGTGACCTCCTCCACTTCTTCCTCTTCCAACTCGTCTCTGCACGCCGCCGAGCCCCACGCCGCCGCGGCAGCAGCCGCCGCCGTCGCCGCGGCGCCTCTTACCTCTTTGCAACCTCAACCTCAGGAGCAGCAGAGCTCCAGTGGGGGTCTGGGATCCCTGCACCCACTTCCACCAGTGTTCAGCTCCAGCCGTAGCACCACCACGCTGCCTCGCTTCCACCAGGCCTTTCAGTGACCCGAACAGCCCGGCCGAGGCGACCGCCGCCGCTCCGCTGGGATCTTGAACAGAAAAAGAAAAGTCGGAGAATTAAGCTGAAAAATAGATCGGAAAATGAACACTTGGAAGCCTTAAATGAAAGTTAGCGCACAATAGCTTCTGATTGAGCCTTAAAAGGAAGTGAAACCCCTTTGAACAGGAAAATTTCAGAAAAGAAGTTGAAGCAGCTTTTATTCGGGCTTTTTCTCCCTTCTATAGATATAACAACGTATTAACCCTTGTTTTTTTTTGTTTTTTTTATTTACGTCCCCTTTTTCTTCCCCTTTTTAGTAGAGTAGAGGGCAGGATCAGTAGGCCTGAAGGCGTGGTACTGCATACTTAAAGTAATAATGGAAAAACAAAAAAAACTACCATCATTTTTAGTGGAGATTATTTGTCTTGTTGTGACCCAGAAAAAAATATAGTTTGAAGTGAAAATCTTGTTTTCTGTTCTCCCTTTTCCCCCGACGTAAGAACTTTATAGAACGTGTCGTATCTTTTACGAGCCGCGATAATCCAGATCGATTTGGAGAGGAGGGAGCTCAGCGGGGGAACGAAGAGAGACGTCCATCCGATGACGTAACCGCCACCTCCCAAAGCAAAGTGCTCTTCTAATCATGGGAGAAATCACATTTCCCTCAGAAGTCCCGTCAGTCGAACTCGTCCGCTTTCCGCTCTTAGGGCGGCGAACACGAATGGAACCGTACCACAGCGTTCTGTCGGCGTTTCTCAAGAAAAGCACTTTTTGGTTTAACCGAAGGCACTTCACTTCTCGCCTGCTCCTTTGAACGGATCCGAACGAAGGCTCCGGAGATCCCAGAGCCTCCGTGGGATTCTGTTCAATCACAAGTTGACACGTTTGCAAAACCGAGTGTAAACTTTAAACCAGGGGAAGGATTTTTCCTCTCGGCTCTAAGGCCCGTCCGTATAACTTCTGCCGCTTCCCAATCAGTTGAGAAACTTCTTTGCAGGATTCCGGGAGCGGAGCGACAAGACGTCCAACTGACGTTCTTTCTGCTTTAAACCGCCTACTTCGGGTCGCTAACTCATCCCTCCGTTGTCCCAGACAGCAGTGAAGGGGGATGACTCAGAAATTTGGCGTCAGCCTTAAGAACTGATAATAATAATCCGACAGCAGTGTGTCGCAATTAGCTTGTCGCAGCTACGACGCAGATATTTTTGATTTATGCCCAATATTGAAGCGTGGTCTGCGCTATGTTATTCCACGCCACAACGCCAGAGGGCCAATCAGGAACTAGCTAGGTTTGATGGTGTCCGTTTGACAAGCTTGTTCGCCGTCTACAACCCCTCATTCAACGCCGGACGACACGCAGTTCACCCGTGAGTGTTCCCCAAAGACTAGCCGTGGCACTGCGTGTTTTTTACCTGACTCCGGCAGATGGATTTGCTCCGCATATCCATCTGGAAACCTTCCGTTGAAGGAATTTTAGGAAGGGGCGAAAATACTGGTTAGCTGATTGGCCTATGTTGGTGATAGACGGGCCAAATAAACCAATCAGATCAACGAAGCATATGACGTACTAACAGCCAGGCTACTCTTGCTGAAACCAGTCGGGAGAAGAGCAAAAACATCTTTTCCATCTTTTTCTTTCAGTGAAGAAATACTCTGTAATTCAGATAAAACTTGCTCGACAGCCACGCTAACGCTAGTTTCATCGGCTGAAGCCGCCATGTTCTTTAGACTGAACTGTCGCGCTTCTCGTTGCGTCACACCTCAACCCGCCTCAAAGCCAACGCTGATTGGACGTTCGTTTGGTGAACGGCTCCAAATTTTCTTTAACGGAGAGTCTCCAGACTGATTAGCGAGTGAAACCTTGAAAGCTCGCGAGATCAGGATGGTCTCACCAGGCTAGCGTGTTTTGGCTTCGGGTGCAAACCAACAGATCGTCGCACAGAGCTATAAACTAGCGTCCTGCACTGCAAAAACTATCTAGAAATAAGTCAGCATTTCTTAAATTAACTGTATTTACCCCTAATTAGTGCAGGTAAATAAGATGACTTGCCGTTGGAATTAGATTTTTTACTCTTAAAATAAGATAATTAGATAATTTGCACTTTAAATCAGACAATGCAATTGTTCTTTCTTATTTTAAATGTAAATTGTCTTATTCCATTGGCAAAGTGTCTCACTAACCTCCTAAATTCAAGAACAAATGCACTTATATTAAGAAAAAATTACTTATTTAGGTTTCGATTTGGGTGTGCAGGTGGAGCAGTGGTTAGTGCGTACGACCCATGAACGGAGGCCTTAGTCCAACCCGGGTTTGAATCCGGCCTGTGGTCTTTTCCCGCATGTCTCCCACCACCCCCCTTTCCTATCAGCCTACTGTCAGAAAAACGAGCCACTGGTGCTGTAAAAACTCAAAAAAAAAAAAAAAATTAGGTACCAAACAGCAAATACGCAAAGTGTAGAGCGGATGCAGAATTGACCAATCAGAGGCCTCCTTTCTTTCCTGTCTGCGGTCACCTACAATGTTGGAGAGGTGCAGTTAACGCAGATATGGGGGCATATCTGCGTTAACTGCGACACACGCAGACCACCTGATCTCTGAGCGTAAACCAGGCTTTAAGGGGCGGGGCAAATGTCTGAATGTTGTGGAGTACGAACAGGTCCTCAGCAGCGGGCCTCAGCGTTCTGGATGCGTCGGCGCCTTCGATGGGGACGTCCCTCCCCCAGCAGGACTCTCCTCCTGTTATCGTTCCCTGCAGCAGTTTACTGGCTGCCTTTATCATTTTTTAAACATGAATATTTCTCTATTTTGAGGAGGGGGGGAATTCTCCAAACTCATCTTTTAGGCGGTCTTTTAAAAAGATGTATCGTCATGGTAAATGATGAACCCTGGGATATGTGAACGGACGAAAAAAAAGAACAAAGGAATTCGAGGCAGATGAGTAAAAACAGGTGTTTAAGAATGTTATTGCAGTGTACGAAATATCTCAAGAATAAATATGGAAATGTGTATTTTAGTTAGATGTATTAAAACTAAGTGCTGACGTTTTATTTTTTTTTGATGTGTTGCAGGTTTACATTTGTATGTATCTTGCATTTTCTGACTAAGAAAAAGATGAAGTATTTTCTTTGTCCCTCAAGCTTTCTGTGTCGAAGCCGAACCTCTTGGTGTGAGAATCCAAACTCTGGAAGGGAAATATTAGCGGCTTAGTGGGCAGCTAGGATTAGAGCTAGCCGTAGCCGTAGACGCAAATCTAGGGACGTTTACCTGGACGGCCTGTTAGGATTTTAAACAAATAATTCTGTTAAAAAGAACAACTTTAGTCCAAAGTAAGCTTGATTTAATCGTAGGTTCAGTTGTATTTCCGGTATAGTGTGGTCACAGTGGCTAAAATTGACGCTTTATTTAAAAAACAAAAAACAGAAACGGGTTTCCCAGCTGATTACCGTACCGTCAATAACAGACCGCCTCCTTTTTATCATCTAAATTCATTCGCTGTGTTTCATGAAGTTTTTTTTTAAAGATTTTTTTGTTTTCCATGCTGTTCCCACCCAGCGTGGTCAGAAAGGCGTAAGTCAGGCTCCGCCTCACTGAGCGGACCAATCACAGCGCAGTAGGCAGGTCCAGAATGCTAGCTCCCAGAGCCAAGTTTGAATGACAGTCTATGATTTTTGTTTCTAATATATTGACAAAAACTTTCAAGGTTGTTGGGTTTCAACTTTCTTTAAAACGGAATCAGCGAAATTCATCTCTAAAACATGGCTGCTCTAACGCTGCGTTCACAACAGGCCCATTCTGCGTCAAAGCGTCTGATATAAATGGAAGGTCTATGGAGGACGGCGTCGAGGGGTCCAGCGTAGGCTCGGGGCGTTCGATGCTGGAGTTCAGTAAATTATCATTTATCCGCTGGACGCCGGAGCTTCAACCAATCAGAAAAGATTATCCAGGAGTTTTTGGAGGAGACAGACTCTACCTGCAGTCTGTCGTCGCTTCTGCAGAGGAAAAATAAATAAATATCATGGAGTTAAACTCTAAAGCTTAAATAAAGTCGGAAGAATGGATTGTTATGTAGGACAAGAACTGCAGATTTTAGTGGGATTATAATCCTGATGAACTGATGAACAGAGGATGTTTGGGGGTGGACTTTATCGCTTAAAACATGTTAAAACTATTTTTCCAACTAGCTGGAAGCTACAGAAAAGAGCAGATAAACATCCAGAGCATCGAAGCATCAAAGCAACTGGACCAGTTTGAACCAGAGTCCAGATTTCTGCGTTTTGGACGCTCATAACGCCTTTGGTGTGAACGCAGCATAAGGGTCTGGAAAAACCCGTTTAATTGTTACATCTGTCGTTATCTGGTTCTAACCGGTTTCTGCTGACCGGGTTTTCCCACCTTTGAGATCAGACTCCACCCACTCCTGTTCACGCTGATGCGCCATGTTTTAAGGTGGACATGCGGCGTTTCAGTCCCTTCGGAAGGACAGTTACTTCACGCTGAACCCAGAACAGCCCGCTTTGAATTTAACTTGCAAACTTACAGGGTTTTGTTTTTCTTTATTTAGTTTTCTATGGTAGGAAACTTTAAGCTGCCATAAACAACGTTTTCTTACCCTACAAACCTTTTTTTTAAACACAATCTGAGTTGCGCCATTTTGAGCGAAGTGAACTTTTGTGACACTAAAAGCTGAAACACATTTTGTAAATACAATAATTGTTGGCGTTGCCCACGGTGACCACACTATCAAGGAATGAGTCGCAGTAAAGAAAATCTTGTGTTTTTTTGTTCGGTTCCAGAAACGACCGCGGATTCTGAACGTTCATCTTGATCATGTTTAGTAGTTTATTTCCTTCGTAAAGATTCGTACAGTTTTTGCGCGGCGCTATGTTTAAGCTTCGTAGCGTCTGGGAATCCGACATTTCCCACCTGGAAGAACCTCCAAAGCAGAACCAGGAACATTTAAGCTAAATCCCACATTGCTGCTTCAGGCTGGTGATGTTCGACAGCTGTAGACCACTAAAAC